AATTCCGAGGTATTACAGATTGTTTGCGCTCAAACATCGGAAGGAGAAGTTGGTGGCATTTATATGGACGAGAAGTTTGGAGTTAGCTCGGTCTTGCACTTCTCTCGTTTGCGCAACATATATAATTCGACAATATTGATCTTCGCGAATTTATTCTCACGTGTGTAACATTCCGTTTGCGTACGCGCGTATTACTTGACGTTTACGTCGACGGGTATTGATACATTCGGAATATTTACGACATTTGAGAGAGAGAGAGAGAGAGGAATTTCTGTTAGGTCTCGAGAGAGGATTTCTTTAGGGAGAAGCAATTTCAACGCGTCGAACTCACACGTCGGCCTCGCACTTATTAACGTCGCGAACTGATTTATTGGACGCGACTAATAGCCGAACGTTTCTTAACAGCCGTTCAATGGCGGCGCTTGTTTGATAACGGCACATATTGCGATATAAACGCGTTCGGTTAACATCTGAGTGAGAAATAAAGTACCCATTCGCGTCGATTTCGCGCGGTAACGCGCGCGTTTACGATGATAATGACTACTCCACATAGATATAAGCATTCCAACTCTATCAGCTGTTAATCCTCGCAAGTGCTGATATACCGCTGAAGTAGTTTTATTATCTCTCTCCCACAACGTTCAAATATAATTACAAATAAATACAAAACATAAATTAAAAATAAATAATTAAAAATAAATATAATTTATTTCTCTCTCTGTGACAGCTCTTGTTGATCTCATTTACTTCAAACTTGCGAACTAATTTACGGAGTTGAAATTTGAAACGCACACCGCGATTGACAATTAAGTTGCACACACAGCAGGTAAATATAGCGATGACAATTCAGCGCCTGTCATTACTCAGTTTCATCGCAGGCAAGGGATATCCTCCTTTATCCCTCTCTCTTGCGGCGGAGATTGTCACGTAACGCTCTGAGAACAAAATTTCCTATTAATCAAGCGTCAATCGATTATAACTACCACGACACGGAAACTTCATTAGCTCGTAAAAGGATTATTACATTCTCGTGATTGCGATAATAAAGACTCACGATGATAGTTCAATTATCGTTCGCGAGACAATCGTTAAAGCGCTCTCGTATATGCGTGCCAGCTGATGATTATCGGGGAAATAGCAAACACGCCCGGCACACTGCCGCCGGTGAATCGCGATCTCGAGAAGTGAATTACATGTGTGAGCGGCAGTTTTTCTCGTCACGTGGAGAGTTACGTCGCGTTGCACATATGCGCCCGTGATTATGAAACTGACGTATGTCGCACATTACGTGCGTAGATTTTCGTCGATTAACGAGCGCGTTTAGGGATCGAAACTTATTTAGCGCAACGTTCGTCGCCTATCAATTTTTTTCTATATCGCAAAAAGTGTCTACAAAAAAAAAAATATACTTGGTCACTTTAGTGACACCTTCCACTTTTTAAGTATTTTTCCCAAAAATGCAGTGCGAAATACGTAACCAAAAAAGGTAAAATACTGTAGTTTCTTCGCACAAACAGGGTTTCTCGATTCGGCGTTTTTATCTGAGGAATCACATCCCTTTTTGCGGATTACGTCACGGTCCATATAAGGCCGACTTTTAGTACGGAGCACCGTACAAAATCTCGATGAACACGGTCGACGATAAGAAATCTCAGATCGACGTCGCGATTAATCTCGGCGTCAAAACTGTCACGACGACGTTCTCTCGTTAAACGTCCCTTGATAGTTAATTGTACAGTTCAGTTTTTTAAAAATCGAGAGAGAGAGAGAGAAAGAAAAAGAAAGACTGACCCATATTTCGTTCGTTGGATAAAGACCGTTTCATTAACAGGAGGGATTAGCGCCGGGATTTATTTACTCTCACTTACACCGTCCGTTCATCAAAAGGTGTTTACTTTTTGTCGCGACGCACGTCGCGCGGACAGAAAGATTATTAATACGATCGCTCGAATTAGAACACACAGAGTTGTCGGAAAGATGAGATTTCTTCGAGTCGTCGCCGTTTTGTTTTGATGATGCAACCGCAATACCCCGTGGAACTTTGAATTGCGTCCGTAAATTCCGACGCCCGACCATTCTTTGACTGCAACGATGTACGCAATGTCATCATTAAAAAGATACACAGCTAACAAATTGTACGTGAGTCATTCGTTTCGGAAGATGCGTTTCTCCGAAAATAGAGAGGCATTCTTCTCAAAGAAACAAAGCGCGCGCGGTTTTTACACAAAAAGAAGACGAAAACTCCAATTAAAATTTACATATTTTTTGTAAAATTTAAATTTTTTAAAATATTTTTATTTAAAAAAATTCTCGCACCGCTCGAGCCGAAAATAGATGGACGCGAAGGGTGGGAGCTTTGAAGAACACGTACTCGTGTGATACGCTCCATTTCGCCAAGGTTACATTCCATCAAGTGTAGGAGATAAGAAACGACGTGAGATATCGATCCCAAAAAAGTGTGTGATTCTTTAAAACCAAATCTATATTCTCAAAATGTATATTCTATATATATTGCGTTCTTCTCCCATGCGTTTGCTGAAGCAATCAGCACGCGCAAAACTCATCACAATTAGAGTTACTCTGCATATTCCTTTCACGTTGTCTTATTAAAAATATCATAGCGCGTGCTTCAGAAAATTTTCTTCCAGTTAAAGATTGTTTTTTAAAACCAAAGACCGGAATGTTACCACACCTTACTTCAAGAAATATATTCATAGAGCGTATATTGAAATTAAATCGCTCGATATGATGCCATTAAGATGTAAATAAGCAATATTTATGTAATAATTCTGACGTTTGCAAAAGTGACAAAGAAACAAAATGTGTAGAAAAAACAAAAAAAAAAAAAAAAAAAAAAAAAAAAAAAAAAAATCTCGAAAATCCGAGAGTAATCCCGATTTATTTCTTTTAAAACTTTTTCGAGTGTGCGACACGAATTCAGCCGAGACAGAGAGAGAGAAAGAATTTTAATGCCGACGATCTCTCTCGTGTCGCGGGGACACATTGTCGCAACCTTGTCGACGGCGTAACTTACGGGCTCCGCAAAGCCGGCCGTATCCATCTCTTGCTCTTAGACACGAAGAAGCGAGCGCTATTAATTAACTATGCGTTGCTGCGATGAAAGTTGCAAAATTACCATACGCGAACAATCGCCGCGCGCGTATAGCGGCAAGGCTGTTACACCGGACCGAAGAGAAGTTTGCGCGCGCGACGCGCGCAAACTCAGTGACATTTCGGAGCAAAACGATTTTTGATCGCTTGCTAATTTTTGTCTTTCTTTCACGCACTCTTATCTCTCGCCAAGTGTACACGTTCCCGCGCTCGTCTTCTAATCGTCGCGCGATATCAGTGGCATAAAATTACAAGTGATATGAATTACTCGACGTTGGCGCGAACGGATGTGTATAGAATCCGTCCGGTGAGAGGTACTCTCGTATTATGCTAAGAGTGCGAGACTTGATGAGACTTCCTTTTCTTGAAAAAGCACGCAGTCAGAGCTGCGTCTAGTAATAAAATAGAAAAAACGCGCGAGAAAAGACTCTCTCGCGGTGAATCTCGTCGCGACAAAAAAAAAAAAAAAAAAAAAAAAAAAAAACTACGCGAATTTAATATGTTTGCTTTCTATTCGTCGACCTCGTCGATCGTGACCGTCGCAGTTCGACGAGACGTATCTCGCTTCTGAATCTAACTACATTGACATAATTTGTGTGTAATAAACGAGACAAACAAATCGCTATTTAATCGCAACAGTATTCCCAGCAATAGGTCATGACATCAGCGTCGATATCGTCGTCGCATCGTACATTTGTCGAAATTTGCACAATAACGTAAACGTCCGTGTCGTACAAATGTAGCAAAGCGTATTTTTTTCTTTTCGTCGCTGACTTCATCATTAAGATCAAACGGGATTCCGGGAACACGCGCTCGGAATATCAAATTTCTGTGTGTTTGAACTGAAAAAGTGGAGCACGCTGAGACTGTCGATTAAAATAAATTATCTGATTACTCATATATAAGAGAAATATTGTTCAAACAAAATAACCTCTTCGACGAAATTGTCACGTTAATTAACGACACACACACACACACACGCGCGATATTGAAATGTTTGAGCTAAATTCCTCAAATTTCTTCACTAAAATTTCTCTCCCAGTATCGCAATTGATTTTTTATTTTCAAATAACACAAACGGAAGAATAAAATAAAGAGAATCGAGAATTTTATTACATTAAACCGCGCCAAGAGGTAAGTGGAAGATGACATTTTATCGCACGACTTATTATTTTTAATGATAAAAACAAAAAACATCTTCTCCGGAATGCGGTCAATCACGCACGTGCGAACGCGTTGTCTATTTTTGTAAAGAATTTTTTTTCAAGACAAGAATAGAATAATAGAGAAAAAAAATAAATGTTTTATTCGCGCTTATTTGCACTTCGTAATTTATTCGCGATGATGTCAGTGTCTGATAACGACTTGATAACAGACTTGAATTCAGCTTGTTATTATAATTAGTTATGCGAAAGAGAAGATCGCGTGGACGATCGTGAATAAAATTGCAACAACGAGAATGAGATGAATATTTCAGTATTAACAAGTTAACCGTTCAATCGCTCCCAATTGAAGCGAGATACTCGTTTTTTTTTTTTCTATCTTGACAGAAATTCACTCATTACTGATTCGTTTGATTGAGAAGTCGATCAGCTGTGTTACGAACGAAAATACTATGTTGAACTTTGCACACATTCAAACATCATTTCAACACAGTTCTACTAACATGTGTTTGACAGCAGTCAATCAAGCAGTGATGTTCTCTATGCAAGTCGCACAAAAGTTGACAGGTGCTCGCGCAGGGTTCAACAAATTCGATCTTTCGTCTTTCACTTTTCACTCTCGGAATCGATAAAAAAAAATCGACGTGCGCGCGCAATTTTCTTAACAATATATTACACACGCACATCATGTTTTTTACTTAGCTATGTATATATTGCACCACTTACTCGAAAACGGGCGAGATTCAGTCTGGTCCGAGGACTATCTTCTTCGACGAACGTCGGTTCGCATGTGCCTCGCGCGGTCGGGAACGATCCGCACCAAAGAAGAAAGACCGAAGAAGTCGAAAAAAAATGCGCGAAAAGGAGGCGGCCGAAGATGTATCAATGAATCGCCACCGATCGATCGCGATCGGGAAGGATCACCGGGAAGAGAGAGAAAGAGAGAGAGAGAAAGAGGGAGAGAAGGAGAAAAACACAGCCGGTGCTGGCGGCTCGAAAGCGCGAGCCTAACTGACCCGCGAGAGACGAGAGGTAAACGCAAGCTAAACTAAGTCTCGGTATCACAATTCGGTTCGAACTGCCACGAGGAGCGGAGAGCAGCAGAGCAGCACGGCCGAGCGCCATGCGAGAGGCGATAGATCGCCGGCTGTGCATGGTCCACCACCCACCGGATCTCTCCTCGCCGCGTCTTCCGTCGTCGTTCCCCGTCATCGTTCCCCGTCATCGCAGACGAGAAGATGACGAAGGCGCTACGATGACGGATACCGGAGGCGGAAAGGTGAATCCGCGGAATGCGTCGAAGCCGTGAATTGTGGGAGATCGCACAGCCGATATCTATGTGTGTGTGTGTGTGTGTGTGTGTGATCTCTGCGACAAAGAGTAAACTCAATTAATCTGAATTATTACCTTCACCTTTTACATTCACCGGCTTCTCTGCTCTTGTCAGGTTTCGATGAAGATCGATGAAATAAAATAAATGTAATATTTTTCTAAATTAATTACGTTACGGTAAAACATTTTGTTTTGAAGATGTAGGAGCACATATTTTTGGATCCAAGCTTCTTTAAATCCTTTCGAAGCGGAACCCCCGGGTGAAACCTATTTCTGGAGCCACCAAGGCAGTCCTATCGCCTTATCGGACACTTCTGTGCCGAAGTCGTATCGATAACTCTTTTTTCTCTCGCGCGACTAATCTCATTCGAGGCGTGTGTTGTATTAAAACGATAAAGGATCTCTGTGATTAGAAGTACTCATTTACGGTGAGCGTACTTGAGCCTTGAGATCAACTGATTTCTCTATATCGAGGGACACGCGCGCTCGACAGCCGGCAATTGAAATTGCGCTCTGGATCAGATCGGACGGGAGAGAAGAAATTTTGTGTGTGTGTGTGTGTGTGACGGATATGGAACGTGAGACGAATTGACGACGACGAGGAAACGCGTGCCGAAAATTCGTTATTGCGGTCTTTATTTTGTTCACCGGATTTCTCGAGCACTTCTTCGAGAAATTCGTCATTGCCGTGACGCGCACAAAGCCCGCGATGATTATTCCGCGAGAGAATAAACTCGCGAACCGAAACTTACGACGCCGAAAGACGGCGGTTTCCGCGAGAAAGAAACTACAAACGCGTCGCAAGAAGAAGCTCGATAATGGAAAATAGTTGCGCGAGAAATGGGGCGTGTGGTGTCGAGTTTTTCAAACACACACACACACAGCTGTTTCGCATTAGCGGCATGTGTCAACATCAATCAGTGATAAGATTTTTATTTTTTTGTAGCGTTATATGGAGATTATTTTTTTTAGTGTAAAAAATTTTCTATAAAAAGCGTGTCTTAACGAGCGATATGTATAAAATAATACGTCGAATTTGTACGGTTGTCACAACGACACAAATCATTACGATAACTCCGACTAATCGGATAATAAATGCGCTTGGGGGGATTTAATTGCGATGAATTTACCGAGCGCTCGAACAAGCGCTCACATGAATAAATCGATCGCGCAAATCGAACGGTAGATTCTCAGCGCGCGTGCGCCATCCGCATTCCTTCGAGGACGAGATTGATTATTTACAAAGTTGCGAAAAAAACAAGAGAGAAGTCACACACATTGAAAATCCATTAGACGAGTGCGACAATGTGTGGAATGAGTCGTGATCGAGCGAATTGTCGTCGATTAAAGCGCGATATGCGCGCGAAGTTATTTATAACGGCTGAGTATCGCCGCCTTAATTATTCATTGTTCATTTCGGAACGGCATTGGATGGAAGAAGGAAGATGATAATCTATGGAAATTGTCCCGAGGCGATGCGGGCAATGATGTAATTTGACGAGAGACGCGCAGTGAAACTTAATCCCCGTTGATATTTCATAATCTCAATCATTTTGCGAGTAAAAATTGTTTATCATCATTCGCGCGATGCGTAGTAAACACATTATTAATGTAATATCGCAGGTTTTTTTATAGCACACGTTGCATATTATATACATATTGATTACATCAGTATACAGTATATGGCTGTATATGCAGCGCGTATTTAATATAAAAATACACGTAAAATAGCAAAAAACCAAATGTTTTAAATAGCTTTATTAATAATGTAAAAAATATTGAACGATAATTCACACATAAAAAAAAAAAAAAAAAAAAAAAAGACAAGACGGGCTCGTCCGGGATTTGAACCCGGGACCTCTCGCACCCNAAGCGAGAATCATACCCCTAGACCAACGAGCCACTGCTTGACAAGGCTTTCTCTTAAGAGGTATTTAAACTGGAACACCGTGCTCCTTTCAAAAATCTATATAAAGCACGCGTAATTGTTTATTTTGTCATTTATCAAGCAACGCTGATTATCTCGTTAGATTAATCGAGTAATTATTCGTGCGTAAACAAACACCGGTGTTATAACATCATTGTTCTCAATGTCAATCTTACAATTAACGATTTTTTCCGCTTCGACTAACGCACATTAGCTTGTAATGTACGTCGACCTCTTGTACCGACTAATTGCGTAACGAGATAAAATTGCGAGATAAGATTGCGTCAACGAAGTCTTCCATCGCAAATCCGATGCGCAAAGCTCGTCGAGAAACGCTGACGGAGTTTCCGATTCAGGCGCAGTGCCGACGATTAATTATTATTAAACATCAAGGGCAGTGGGCTTTTTTTTCTATTCTATGTGACTTCGCGCTCTTGTCATTCTAATCTTATCTTGTTTGTACGTTTAATTCGCTTGTAGCACTCTGTGCGCTACACGTTCAAATAATGCATACGCATTTTGTTTTTTTTCCCCATTTATATAACCGACAATTGTAAAAACTTTTTGCAATATTGAAGATCATAAAAAATATAAATATTTTGCATAACAAACTGACGTCATATTAAATTGTCGGCGAAAATTACAGGCGGAAAAAAAATATAATGACTGCGCGAATTGACTATATGTGTCATAAAATAAATTATTAAATTATTTTTTATTATAAAATTGTTTTGTCAAGTAGCAGAGAAAAACTGTCACTCAACTCGTATCACGCTGCGATACAATTTTAATTCCTGAAAATGAATAATTTTTTTTCTTTATGCGTGCGTACATTTCTATTTGTCGAGTTCAAATGTGTGACTTCGAGTTTCTCATTCCAAGCAGTCGTTTAGTTAACGTGCGTACCAATATTTCACTTTGATTACGTTACACCTCGTTCCACAGAAGTGTTCACGCGCGCGCGCTTGTGTACGCGCATTTCGATCTCACAAATAGATCGCTCGCTTTTTTTTCTCTCGCGCTGCACGTTAATTTAACGCCTGAAAATGTGGGTCGCATGCACGAGAAAAAAGAAAGGAGAAGAAAAAACAGATCGCTTTTAAGTATCCATAACTTTTCGTGAATGTAATGTATGCGTAGAGATGCTGCGGAAAGAGAGAAACGTTCTTGTTGAAAGGATTATATTTTACCTCTTCCGACGCATATATTTTTTGCTTGATCACGCGATTAGATAAATTGACAGACGTTACTATTGATAAATATTGTTGAATATTTTACGTAACACTTTTCACAACAAATTCTTATCATTTGTTTAGTCAAAAAATTTTATATATTTCATATATTTTAAATATTTTATATATTTCAAGAATTTACTATTGCTCGTGCTAACGTTTATATCTCGTACTTAGGAGATGTTTCGTATCTCGGCGCCGTGGCTTAGTTGGTTAAAGCGCCTGTCTAGTAAACAGGAGATCGAGGGTTCGAATCCCTCCGGGGCCTTTCAGCGGTTGTTTTTTTTTTTCAACGTTTTACTTTTATTTTCTTTAACAATATTCTGTTACAATCACAAAATCGAATTAAAAAACTTAATTCTATGTGCGTAAATTAAAAAAAATATATATATATTTAATAAAAACTAATTCATCATTCGTATAAAGATTCACACACAAGACTCTACCGAGTGTGTGTTGAAATTGAAATCTCGATCGCGAGGCATTTGTATACGAATTTATTCGTAAACTGTCCTCGACCGTCGCGCGACGCAATAATAGAATCTAATTTCCTGCTCGCGGGCCGAGATCAAGGCATTGTACGCGGCGGGCTCACGTACAGTTGGGTTCTCAGTATCGGTGTAAATGCGGCTACGGTCATAACACGTAAGTATTTATAACCTTGCTTAACGTGCAAGATCAATTGCAGCATTGCCATCTAAAAACATTCGGGACTAAATTAAAGGCGCGGTCATTGCTTAGGTATGCGCGAAAATGTTTCACACCGCCGAAATGCACACGTTGGAAGTCGTTGAAGACTCGCCTCGTAGAATTGTATAAACAAACAAAAATGGAAGATTATTTAAGTTTTCCAAAAACAAATTTGGAATAAACACAAAATCACTAAAATTTACTCTTTGTCGATATGTTATTTAATTCGATATTGTTATCGAGAAGTCTCTGTCGTGATAAGACACGCTCAAAACGCGAGGCAACACTTTCCATACAATGCGTAGCAAACATCGCGCCCTTTGATATTGATCAATTATACGAGACAGCAATCGTGATGACCTGCGCGATACAAACGGTCTTTACCGTGACTTATAAATCTATCGGCCTTAATTCGCACCGTTCTGTCAGAGAACAGAATAAGCGAGTGTATGTATACCAGATAAGCCTTGCGAATATTTTTGCAAGTTACACTAACGCACAAAGAGAAGCAAAATGACGAAACGTTAATTGTTGTACATTCGTATACTGTGTGCCGTTGCTTAATAAAATAAAAATCTATAAAAGTGAACAAGAATTCAGGCACATAGTCCCGTCATGACAGAAATTTATCAGTTACTTGATAAATTTTTGGCAACAGTTGCGGTTGCGATAAAGCCACTTCAAAGCCACTTCAGAATTACAAGTCGCAATTGGGGCTCCGCGCGGAGCATCCTACATCAATGGAGAGAATATCTTATTAATCCGCAACACAAAACAGGAGTTTTTTTATACCGAAATCTCGCTTGGAAATTAATCTCTTTCGTCGTTAAATTTGCGAACCGCTCTGTAGTTTTCTGTTTCAAACTTCCTGTTTGATTATTTCCTCGTTATCAAAAAACCGCTTAAATGACTTACGACGTATAATTAAAAATACAAAACACACAATATGTGCAATCAAACTTTTGAATCAATCGGTACTTTTAGTCCAAATCTCAAAAGCTGCATATTTGCTTAATCGATTATTGGCCACGGTATCCTGGCAACCAACCAGACGTGTTTATTTGGCAAATAATAGTCGCGCGTTGTGCATCTTCACTCTCGCCTCGCGTTCGAGAGTGCAAAAAGTCTTTTCTTTCAAACGGTGCTCCCAAAAACGATAATAAATCATGGGTAACGCCGAGAGCAATGTGACAAGCGGCGTGAAAAAACAGACGGACACCTCGTCTATTATGCTTTACAAATTAGTCGACCTGAAAGGTGAGTGTAAAATGTAAAAATTTGTGAAACTCGGTCGAAACTTTTTATTCAGTTCTTTAAATACATAGGTAAATATGTACTTAAGTAATTAACATAATTACTTAAATTTTATTAAGTAAAATTTTACTCATAATTACTTATAGTTACTTCAGTTTTTTTTTTACATTCGAGGCCTTAACTTGCGTTACCGCAACCAACAATAAAACATCTGAAGTCTAAAAACAGCGCGCGAACGTCATCGCGAATTTCTGATGCACGTTTTCGCGTGTCGGTCTCATGTTGGCTTGTGAAAATCTGACTTCTGCGATGCGGCTTCCGCGGCTACAACGACGAAGAAGCGAATGCGACACGCCAGCAAAAAAAAAAAACACACACAAAAGCGCAATGATTGAGCAATACTTCAGCGCGTTCGTTAACTCGCCGAACGCGTTTTCGCGTTTTGTATGATAGAAAACATTCTGTCAGCCATTATTACTTACAATAAGAAACTCTTATTATATCAACAATTGCACTACGATGTAACCAATAGAACGAGAAAGAGGAACAATAATATTAATATAATATAATATTAATATTCTATGAGAGAAACAATAATGTTACTAATATTTTATACAGCAATTATGTTTGCGAAAAAAAATTGGATTCGGCTTGGGGGATATTTATTATCACTTTCTCATCGTTTGACGTTGACGGTTCGTCCAAGTGCTCGGTGCTCGCCGTCGAATTGTAAGAGGTCTGCGCGTTATACTTTCCCATTTCGGCCTCGAATAAGATGTTGTTTATCTGGTGCTGCGCAATGAGTCTCGCACGCACGTCTTTTATATTCTTTAGCCGAATAGCGACGTGCTCGGCAAAAACCGTAAACTCGTCCCGGTATGTCGAAATCTCCTGAAAACGCGGAAGAAAAAGTCGTGACGTCGCAGAAGTTGAGTTCTACAAGAACGAGATTGTTTTTGTTTTTTGTTTCGAACCCACAAAGAAGGTTCTTTAGCCACGCGTAAAAAACTAAATATATATCGCACGAAACACAAAATATATACATATATATATAACGTACCTGCGTCTTCCAATTAGAAGCAGGTGTGGAATTCTAAAAAACAAAAAAGAATACAAAAACAGTACGTCATAAATTAATTAAACGCAGATGACGTCTTTATTACATACGCAAATGAAAAATGCGGATCATATTCTTTGCGCACCTGCCTCTCCCTTTCCATGATCGTCTCGCGATTGGCTCGCGACGCGCATCCTTTAATCAGAAAAGTCAGTGCCTCGTAAGCGAACCATTTGGGCTTCTCGGCGACGCTCCCAGAATTCAGATCGCTCCTGAGCCTTCGTTTCGCGTACGCCTTGTGCACCGACATGAAGTGAGTCTTCAGGCTCTTCAGCTTCCGCTCGACCGTCATCACGTCGAAGCCGACCTGAATGCAATTTTTCAGAAAGAAACGCGCCCCGGATTACTTTTTGCGCGATAAATATACATATGGTTGTAAACAAATAGATCGTGAATTTCTTTACGCCATTGTTACGCAAAAATGGCCTTTCTATCCGAGATTACTTTCCGGCGTTATAAAGGCTTCCGCGCTTGCTTGCCCGCCACGACTCGCTGTTGTGCAATGACTTGCGCAAGTGTTGGAGACGTATCGCGTTTATCGCAATATGCTCCCTAAGATATGTATGCGTATATATGCACAAGCAAATATTTTTTACTCTACTCGAGTAATTCTTGGCATAATACACACGCGCGTTATATTATCGCACCTTGAAACAGACTATAATTTTCTTTTCTCTAAAAAAACATATATAACTGCTTTTTTTTTATTATCAATACGTCGATTTAAAGATATCAATTTACAATTATTTTTAATATAGACGTAAATACGTAAAACCTTTTTTTTGATGGTAATAATAATAACGTTAAAAATAATTTTTAATTTTTTATCAGTTCCAATCTCTCCTTTCGATTTGTATACATCACTAAAATAAGACAAAATATCGCCAAAAAAAAAAAACTTATAAGTTTACATACATTATTAAGTAACATTAAATAATATCTTGACCACACTTGATCACACCGCACCTCGTTTGCAATTTCTTTCCACGCATTGTATCTCTTGCTCCGGTCGGTATACTCGACAGCCGTCTTGTCCCAGAGAAATCTCCTCTCGCGATACGCACCGATCAATTTCAATATTGTATCTTGCTTCCACTGTGCCATGATTCCTGCATTGAAGCGTGGCTGTGTACCGCACGTGTCACGTCCAACCCACTGACAACGACGACGATGGCAATCCTCCGATGGAAATACCCCGCTCTTCACTCCCAGACTTGCGCCAGCAATTGCGACGATGCGTGCAATGGTTGCGCCAGATAGTACAAGATGGCGTTGCATGGCACATATACCCCAATAAAATATCTCTCTCCTCCCATTTGTGTGCTTTTATTTTCTTGATAAAAATCGAATAAATAACAGCGAGCAAATAACTCCCTTCGGGGGTCAGAGCCCCCCCCTCCGTGTTCAGGGAAATTGAAATTCGAAATCGATCTTTTCACAGGTTTGCGAAGCTGTAGAGAGTAAAACAAAAAACAACTTTTTAAACCTAAAAACATTCCATCCGCTGTGCGTTTCGCTTATTTTTTAAATGTATTTTTCATTCCGGGAAATACATCAAAAATAAATATTTCCTCTCAAGTTAAGGAAAGAAAACATATGAAAAATTGAATGGGACGAAAAATAATAAATAATACATTTCAATAATAAATTTCATTATAGATGGCAACTAAAAATACACTCGTTCACATCATTAATTTACAGAATACAAATTTTTTTTCTCAAATGAGGTGTAGCCGGACCACACATTGTTGCAATATTTCGCGATTGCCTAAAAAAAAAAAAAAAAAAAAAAAAACTAAACTCTCTCCAACAAAAACGGAGGAAAAAAAGAACGCCGGTTAGACGCCAACAATTTTCGGCGCCTCGGATATTCCTCCGTGTCGTAACGAGCGCAACATCTGCGCGCTCTGACATCACGAGTTGCGAGTTTAATTGGCGAATCGCCTTTCTGTGACTGACGGCTCGTTTTCAGCAAGCGGGAGAAGCGCGCACTTTTCAATCGCGAAAATAGGAATGCTGTCATGCGCCGCGCAGAATTAATGTTAATCAAAAACGAGCCGCGCACGTTTCGACGGCTTCTCTTCTTCCGCGCCGTCGTATATCATTATTTTGTCCGTGAGTCACCGCACCGACTATTCCAATGCGCGGCCGAAGTGCTAATGCCCGATATACCGGTTCTCAGGCCGCATTTTCTCGGCACACTCGAGACGATCCAAATACTTGTAGCAATACGTGACGCAACGGAGATATACACGCGCCGCGATTTAATTTTATATCGCGCGATGACGTTCGCGCGCGCGCGCGCGCGCGACCGCGAATCTCCTCGTTCGCGTGGACAAACAACACTTCCGACGGAATATACTATGACAGATCGTTTCGGTCTGACGTGCTTCCTATCGGCATATCTGCTGGATATACTGATGTGTGTTCTGGGGGATTTCCCCCATGTATATGGTAATTCAAATCGTTCTGTTGATTTTTAATTGTACGACCAGGAATTAAAATCTCCGATTCATTTCTGCGATCGCAGGTGGCGGCTTGTTGGTAGACATGATGAAGAGAGCCACGCAAACCAAGCAATTCGCGGAGCTGGATCACGCGATAAGAACGAAAGTCGAACCTTATCTCTACAACAAGGGAGAGGGTAAATGGATACCCATAGAAAAAATGGTTCTCTTGAGGAATAAGGAACGTCCGCGGCACAAGATGGTACACGCGAATTGATCTCTCCCTTCGTTCCCAGATCTTTTCTATTGAATTTTCTTTCCTCGTCTCGTTTAGTTGGCACCCTTGAGAGCTATGGAAAATCCTGCGGATTACGATATAGACAAAGATATAGGCGACGAGGACGTTGATGAAAACAAAATAGGTAGAGAGCGACCTATGTGTTACGACTCAAAATCGCGCGATTAATATAAAAAGAAAAACGTTAATTAATACCAAATTTCTTGTCAGACAAGAGCAAATATCGGTTGGTGTGCTGGAGTTTGAGCGAGAGAGGCGCAGTCGGCGAAACGATCCTGCACTTGTGCATGTTAAACGCAACCGCCATTCACGCCGACTTGGCAAAACGACTGTTGCGTTTCTATCCAAAGCTCATAAACGATATTTACATATGCGACGAGTATTACGGCAAGTTCGAGTTCTATAAAAATGCATCAAACAAAAGTACACACACACACACACAATGAAACGTTATCTTGGCTTTATTATATTACACTCGGTTTGAAATTTAGGAGAAAACGTGCTGCACATTGCTATCGTAAACGAGGATCCGTCGATGGTGAAATTTCTTCTCGACAGCGGCGCGGACGATCCGCGCGTTATTCACGAGAGATGCGTCGGCAATTTCATGTGTCCGGAAGATCAAAAGGCGTCGAGGAACGACAGTCTGGACCACGAGTGGGTGTGTGTTACGCAAGAAACCAATTACAGCGGGTACATATAATTGTTAAAACTAATCATTCAAACAATATATATTGTGCTTTGATGTATGAGTTTTTTTAATTACAATTAATTCAAATTACATGATATTTGTCTTAACTTGTACTTAATTAAAATAGCGAAAAACAGAAAAATTCCATTTTGATGACACGCTTCCCGTTCGAATTTATAAAAGATCTGTTTTGAAGCAATTTTAAGAGCGAACGTCTTGTCAGTGGGTTAAACGCCACAATTAAACAACTAATAAACAAGCTCGTAAATAAGCTCATCCATTAAAAATTCAACGAGACCTGTCAGACGACGTCTACAGTAAATAATGTAGATTAGACTTGATTTGACAAAAGAGAGAGAGAAAGAGAGAGAGACGATCTGTTTTATTGTCCTCACAGTTACGTATATTGGGGTGAGTATCCGTTGAGCTTCGCCGCGTGTCTCGGTCAGGAGGAGTGCTACAGGATTATACTAGCCAGAAACGCGGATCCTGACAAGCAGGACACGAACGGAAACACCGTTTTGCACATGCTTGTGATACAGGACAAACTGGCGAGTAGTAAATTTTATAATAAATTGCTCGTTATAATAATTGCTCGTTTATTAATCGGTTTGTGTTGTTTTTTTTTTTTTTTATATATGTTTAAATGTAGTTTTATAAATTTGTGTTCTCAATTTGATCCTGACAGGCCACGTTTGACATGGCTTACGAGATCGGATCTTCTCTTTCCATAAGAAACGCGCAACATCTGACGCCGCTGACTCTGGCAGCTAAGTTGGCCAATGTCGAACTGTTCTTTCACATTTTGAACATCGAGAGAGAGATATACTGGCAAATCGGTAGCATAACTTGCGCGGCCTATCCCTTGTCGCAGATAGACACGATCGACGTTACCACAGGAACGATCAACAATAACTCCGCTCTGAACTTGGTTGTTTTCGGCGTAAGCGAATTTTTTATTGCACCGATTACTTGCCGAATCACTAGTACGGGAAACTTATTTTTTCATTCGAATGTTAAATTACAGGAAAAGGATGAACATTTGGAGCTGATGGACGGCACATTGGTCGATCTTCTGAACGCCAAATGGAATACCTTTGTCAAATCCCGGTGTGTGTGTGTGTAGAAAACACACACACCTTTAATAAATACAATATATTCAATTTTTATACAATAAAAATTGTTTTTTTTAAATCAACCGCTCTTCACACACACACACAAATCAATAATCAGAAAAACATTCAATTTTTAGATTTTACCGTCAGTTCTTCCTCTTCTGCTTCTACTTCGTGCTATCGCTGATAAGTTTCACTCTTCGTCCCGGCCCGTCGGCCTCGCAAACGGCCGAAAGCACAAACGAGACGTTAACGAGAACGAACTCCTCGAACGTGACGACAACGGATTCCGCGATTCTCAGGCTGTTCCAAGGCACGGATCTCTCGGAATTGATTACGAACAGCTTCGCAACGGCTTTCACTTCCAACTTCAAATCATCCCTGAACGTGACGCAAGAATCGCTGGAGCAGATTCAGCTGCAAGTGACGTCGAACATTACGTCGGCGCTCAAGAGCATGCTGCTTTTAACGCTGAGCAACAACAATGAGGACATGCTGAGTCCGCTGGACGAGACAACCATTCACAAGCTGTGGTACACAGACAGTCCGCAAGACGCGTCGTCCGATTATTTCGCGGAAGCGTATAACGAAAGTGTCACGAGCGAGGATTCCACCGCGAAGGCGGTGATCATTAACAACATCGCGCTGCCAAAACTCAACAATCGCGACAGCTGGTGCGTTGTGAGAACTGCAATGTTAATTTGATTATTTTTATTAATTTTTGTAGCGCGCTATTTTTTATCTTATCGGAGCAGGTGGGGCAATATTACGGGAGAATGCCGACTGATGCAACTGACGACGATGACCACGAAGATTCGTGTGACCGCTGAGATTCTGATGTACTTCGCAGCGCTGCTTTACATCGTCGCTGCGTTGCGCGAGGCGATGTTTTTGGGTCTCAACATGTTCATTGAAAATCTAGTAAGAAATTATAACGGGAGTTAATTACAACATTAATTGAAATTCATTTCTCAAAACGCGTTCTCAACAATATTTCTCGCGATTATTAGCACGTGCTAATGCGATTTTTTTCAGATGACGGCGCCGTCGCGCGTGATGTTCCTCTTCTCGTGCTGCATTTTGACGTCGTTTCCGTTTCTGAGACTCGCCTGCGTTGACGAGATCGAGGACATGCTGGCCGTCGTGGTGATGCTTACGACGGCGCCGTACTTTTTGTTCTTCTGCAGAGGCTTCAAAACGGTCGGGCCGTTCGTCGTAATGATCTACAGAATGATCATGGGCGATCTTCTCAGATTTGTTTCCATCTATCTCGTTTTCGTGATGGGATTTTCTCAAGGTAAAGCGCGCGGCGCTTTGGAATTCCATCACGTCGCTCGACTCTCCTTTCAATTTCATGCGCCGTGGTCATTGTATATCCTATTTATCTTCATGAATGAAGCTTGTTTCTCTCTATCTCTCTCTCTCTCTCTCTCTCTCTTTCTCGGGTGCGGAATAAATGCGTATTCGATGAGCGATCTTTCTGCTGATTATCGTCAATTGATCATCGGAGACATAATGGCACGTTATAATAGACCGAACGTCGTCAATTCCATCAATGATCAGCTCGTTTCGATCAGCAACGATCGCCTCGTGTCCCGCGTTCTATTGACTAGCAACAATTTATTAATTAGCCGCGCGAACGTAACGGCATCGACGATACGCGTGCACGTTGTATGATCCAATCGACGCTTTTGCTTTGCACGCGACATTGACACACATCGCATCGAAGGTTTCCTGTGTGTACAATTGGGAGCGAGAAACACACGCGGTGCACACATACGAGAGAAGAAGATCGCGGAGAAGAAGCGTTAAATAGCGCGACGCGCGCGATTATGCAACACCGTCGCATTGTGCTTTTCATCACAGCGGTGCAATGTCATCGCGAGACTTGAATGGAGAGTCTGTTCGCTCGTGAAAATGCTTCCTGCCGATGAGAAATATTGATCGACGCGTCATTCGCCCGTCGAAAACTTTTAGACGTTCTTCGCACAGACGACGTTTCAAATGGCGACATTTTATAAATAATAATGTTATTTGTCAATAAAAGTTTCGATAACTCGTATATAAATTTTTTGCAGCTTATTACATCATATTTTTATCGTTCGATAATCCGAACACTCCGGAAGGCGTTGACGATTCGGTGACGAATCCGATGCCTTCGCCGATGGAGAGCATTATGGCGATGTTTCTGATGAGCATGACGAACTTCGGCGATTACTTTGGCGCGTTCGAAAGAACCGATCACGAATTCGAAGCTAAGGTACAATTTGTTCGATGCGATGACGTTTCCACAGTCGATTCTTCAAAGATGCGCGAAATATTGTGTATTATTTTTGGTTAAAGATATTATTATAAAAAATATTATGTATTTTTATCAATTCTCTCAATTATGCTTATCGACAAAAGGGCTTCTCCAAATTTCTCGCGCAATTGATAAAATTTATTATTGGAAATATGCGCGTCGCTATTGTCGCAGTATAAATTCTTACGTCTACTGTTGCAGCTGCTGTTCGTGTTATACATGGCGATTGTGGCGATTTTGCTCGTGAACATGTTAATTGCCATGATGGGTAACACTTACCAGAAGATCGCTGAAAGAAAAAATGAGTGGCAAAGACAAGTACGTCGTCATTAATTAATAGAGCGTTAAAATAGAGAGACACGTTATGTGTCTCGCGTTAATTTGTGCTGATTTTGCGCTTCGTGTGTGCCAGTGGGCGCGCATAGTTCTGGTCGTGGAGAGAGGCGTAAGTCCCGAGGAAAGACTGAAGAAACTGATGGATTATTCTCAGCCCATGTCCGACGGTCGTAGAGCTCTAGTTCTTCGATTGAATCAAAACGTGAGAACGCAAAACAAGTAAACCCGGTGACACAAATGGATTATATATTTATACAATTAATTTCAGGAAAAAGACAAGGAGGAAATGAAGGAAATACTCGAGATGAAAAGAATTCACGACAAACTGGTGACGAAAAGACTGAACAGGCTGGCAAAGGAGAAAGATATATCCGACGCGGAACCCATTATTACTAGAAAATAATGAAAAAAAAAATTTTTTTAATTTATATTCTCGACTCTTCTACATTGTGATTGAAAAAAATATTCTTAATTTAATTCTTACAAAATAATTATTTCATTTACTTTGAACTGTAATTTCTTGCATTGGAAAATGTGTATGCTTGTTTTTTTTTTTTGTACGAGTATTGAAAATAAATAGAAGGCACTCGGTTTTTAAAGCGAGTGCATTTCTAATCAGCAGCAGAGCAATCGATCAGCTAAAGTTTCCATGACAACACAAAACAGTCCTGCGTATCGGCCTGTTATATAGAACCGAGAAATGCGTGCTGAGAAAGAAAACTAAAGCACAGCGACAATGAGCGCTTTAAAAGCACCGATTGATTACAAAAGTTTAGAGGAGGAGCTTCACGCGGCCCTCGCAGCCGATGAATTATATAAATTGCGAAATGACGCTAAAATTCGCGCGGTCGAACAAGGAGTGCCGACATACGAACACTTCAGACAGTTGGTAATGTGTGTGTGTGTGTGTGTGATTTTGGTTACATTTTTTATGCAATAAAAAAATAATCACACGTGTATTTTTTCTTTGTAAGTTTTTTTTTTAATCAATTTTTCATAAGATGTAAAATCCAATATACAAACTTTTCTTATTCGACAAAATTATAAAACCGTTTATTACATATTTCTTATATAAATGCGTTATACGCGACAGGTGGAAGGTGCTCATTTGAAACCGCTGGAGCGTGGCGATAAAACACCCAGGATAGGAGTGCAATGGAATCCCATGATAGGCACTAAATCTCGCTATCCAACTTCGCACGCGACGTCGGAAAAGTTAGCATGTGATAAATATAACAGCGAAGTAGTCGCAAAAAAATCGTCCGAGACGCGCGACGATTTTTTACAATGTTGGGAAAAAATCGTGGATACATCCGAAAGATTTACGTACATATGGAACTTGAGGTAAGAAACATGTCAAACGCACGTAAGGAGATCGATGTTAACTGATACGCGACATGTTCGCAGGAATATTTTACAAAGTCATATTTTTCGAGTGGAAATACCGGCGTCTTTTTTGAGTGATTTTATTGACACGTGTCTGCGATATTCGTCAAACGTAAACGACGTAACGCCAATTACGGAACTTCTCACTATACTAAGCACGTGCAACAGATTCGATCTGACGATGTGTTTCATGACCAAAGACGAGTGTTGTCGATGCGAGCAACTTTTTCAACATCTGCGAAAAGGAAAATTACAGGACGAAAGCGCAATCGAATCCCTAGCCGCGAAGTATCGAATTAAGTAACGCAATAATTTTGCTGATATTATAATTTGCGTGAAATTACACTACTAATAAATAAATAAAATAGATACGAAATTGAATAATATGTAAATAATTTGTAATTGAATGTCTAACTGAATGTGTGTTTGTTCTCAATCAAACAATATCTTATTAAATTTGAATCAATGACCACTCCTGAAACCAGCCTTTTACGCACATCTGAGAAATCGCGAGCGCGCATTGCGAATTTCAAATAAACGCGCCAAAAAGCTCGTTTCGAATCGATTCTAGCAGACGGCGCGACCACATGACAGCTGAGCGAAAGATGGCAGCGCGCGGCGCGTTGCCGCGTGCAGTTACAACACACGCACACAGAGTCAAGTGTCATTACGCTTAATAATGTTAATAAACAAAATACACACATGAACTGATCTCTGTTACTCGCGTTTGTGCGCATCGAACGTCTTGGAAAACGAACGTTGTATCTCACATCTCTCACGCTTTTCGTCATCATTCCTCACGTGAAACGAAACCGCCATGATGCACATAAAATTTTCCGAGTCCCATATGTACGTGTGTGTGCGTTTGTAAACAAGCAGCAGCAGCCTCCGACGTCGATCTCGTCGTCGTCGTCGTCGCCGTCACTCGCGCGCTGATCGCGGACTCACCTTGTTCGAGCTTCATCGTCGACGTTACTACGAGACGCTGAAACCTTGATTACATTATCGGAAATCGGCTGGCGAAATCGCTCGACGCGATAAGATTATGCGCCGCGGACATTTCGCCGCGGTGGCGATCGTTCGCGCGACGACGTCGCAACGCGCGAGGCCGCGACGATTAATCCGCATCATCATCAGTTAGCCGCGCGTCTAGCTCTCTCGCCGCCGCGTGGGATAAAAGCGCCGGCGGCGAGGTCGACCTTTCGACGTTTAAAAGGGGTAGATATTGCTGCTCTCTCGGTGGTGAGCTGCGCGACGCGGTTAAAAAAAATTTATTACCGAAAACGAGGAACGAACGCGCGCGTCGCAGCCTCAGCATGAGGCTGGAGGAGATGCCGTTGCGGCTCAACTCCGACGAGCGGGACTTCGAGATGGACGACGACGAGACTGACTACCTGCTGCAACCGTCCGAGGACAGCATCAGACAGCTGACGTCGAGGCGACGGCGCATCAGCGATTGTTCCAAGTACCTGAAGAACTGCCTCTGCGGGTGAGTAAAGTCGGATCCGGCTTATCTACGAGGTGTTTCGGAACGCGTGATGTATATCAACTTGTGGCGCATAGTCGTAATTTTCGTGTTTTTTTTTTCTATTCGCGACTGATCGTTCTTATCGGTCTTATCGGTCACGTTAAAGGAAAAGATATGAAGAAATCTCCCATTGTATAAACTGATAAAATAAAAGGGACCTCCCATTGTAAACTGATAAAATAAAAATTACTTAGTGTTTTTCTAATTACTTTTTTTAATGAGATGATGTTTTTGTTTTGTAAACTTTATATATAAAAGAGTATCATTTAACTTCAGAAAAGTTATTTTTTGTAACGTATTAAAAACAGTATAAAAATATATATATGTATATGTTAATATATGTAATAATATATGTATATATTATATATATACAATAATATATATATATATATATATAAATAATATAAAGCATCACGTGCAACGTAAAATGTAACGCAACGCAAATTATACGAAGAAACTATTATGAATATATATTACACGTTGAAATCGATTTTTTGACACCCTGTATATATCAGTATAAATGTTTACTGAAGACTTCAAGTTGTGTGACTCAGTATTGTTAGTGATGCCTGAACGTGACACTTGATTTAGTTTGCGTTTGAAAGTTCCCGAGTTACCACCAAAAACAAAAGGGACGAATTTAATTTAGTAGTTTACTTACTTGTGTACAGAGGTTTCTCAGTGCGTTTATCTTAATTATTCACACGTGATACTTTTAACAATCGTTTTTCGCTGAGTGATATTGTCATTTATTCGAAGCAAAATTGTTCGAAAGAGAATAATTTCTATTTATTTTTGATCGAAGTAAATAGCGCGCGATAAATTCACGTAGATCACCGACGATGTAACATACATAAGATCGTTAACAAAAACAATACAGCGAGTTGAAGCGAAAAAAAAATTTCAACAGAATTTGCAATAGTGCGAAGCAAACGTGCGATAAAGTCGGGAAGTCGTAAAGATTAGCACGGTGTGCGGTTCGTAATTCCTGAAGTGGGATTACTTTGTGGTGTGTGTGCATGATGTGGCAGGAAATTTGCATAAGGAAAACACGGTAATTCTCGCTTCATCCAATTGTAGCAACGAAATTTTCTCGATTAATACGCAACGTATCGCGCGATTAAAACTTCAATGTCAGTTGATTGCCAATATATGTGTTTACGCGCTGTAGCTCTAAATTGTGTATCTCTCTCTCTATCTCTTCGTGTGATAATAAATATCTTTCTCTACTCTTCGTTCGACGCAAGTAGTAAGAGTCCAAGGTATAAATAACGGAACAAATATAACACGAGCTCGCGGTCTCTGCGGTAAAATATAATTTGCCGCGCGCATATAGACATAAAACAAAGCGCATCGCGGAATCGATAATCGAATATTCGTTGGATTGTTTTCCCGCATTGTGCGGCTAATGCGTAATTAATTTTTTTCTAATGTCCGATGATCTAAGATCGGATTTGTTTTCTCTATATATTAACGACGCGAGAGAGGAGAAACAAAGCGACTCGTTGTTCCGAGGGAATGCCGACCGAGGAATGGAATATTTCTCGCGTGATGCTACTTCGCGTGTCGTGCGCGCCGTTCGTTCGTTGTAAATCGATGAAACAAACGACAACAACAGAACCTTAATCTCTCTCACGTGATGTTAATGCGGTCGATTGAAAGCCACGCAATCACGACCCGCTCGAGAAATTTAAAGTATTCAATCCCGTTTGACCCTCATTGCGGCATTACTTTGTCAGTTTTTTCGCGCTTTTTCCAAAAGCCCCGAGAAGTCTCTCGATCGCTTTTCAAGTATGCCGATTTATTAGCACCTAGTCCTAGTCTCATTGTTAGCGTCCACGTGTGAACGTCAATAACGTCATCAAAATAGAGAGAGAGAGAGAAGACAATAACGTCACGACTGTCGTAGTGTCATTTTGAAATCGCTCCACAGCGAAGTCGATACCTCGTGAAAATGAATTTTGTAGAATTTTCTCTTTTTTCTCGAGTAAAATTTCTTAAACACACTCAGATGTGTCTTAAAAAGACTGCGCGCGCAATACGTCTCGAAAGAGATCCTCTCAATCTACTGTGTAACACGTTTCTCTCTGATTCTGTCTCTGATAAATTCTCAACTTTTCGAACTGGTTTGAATGCGCGCGCCAAAAATTTGACAGTTCTAGGTAAACAGGCTAGTGGTTCTGTCAGATATAATTGGCTCGGAGCTGTTGTATCGACCGAATGCAGCCAATCGTGACCGAACGGTCCCGGTAACGTCAGAAGCCAATGTTCCTCACAGTGAACGCGTCTTGTCAACCGTGTGTTTTATGCTCGACGATAATGGCGACGACGTGAATTCATAATAAATTCATTGTTGATTCTGATTAAAAATTGACGCGACTCATAAAATTTCTGTGACGTAATTTCTGTGAACGAGATTGGGAAACGCGGAACGGGAAGTTTGATGCTCCGTCTGTGAACGGGATAATCCCAATGGAGACGCAGAGCAACGTTATACGAATGTCCAAAGAAGACATTCCGTTGATCTCCAAACCCCGGAATGACAGTTCCTGGTCGAGGTGACGTATATATATATAGTTTGGTTCTCCGCGAACGAGGTTTCGATTTTCTTCATCGGTCGTTCTCTGTCTCCAAGTTTTTGTCTTTCGCAATTCTTGCGTTATGAATCTTGCGACATCCGATTTCTCCGTTTCGATCTCGTTACGATAAGAGTGCAACTTTGTTCGATCAATGCGTTGTATGTGACTAGTTGTGAATACATTTGTTTTTACTTGTCAAATCTTGACAATCGATTGCCGTATATTCAATTAGTTAGTTGTATTGTATCATAACTGTTAATAAACTTTTGTTTTAAGAAACATCCATTCAATTCGAACATCGCAATCGAAGGATCATCCATTTCTACTTGTGAATTTTTGAATATAGATTGAAGATTCTGTTTCTTATGATTGCAGATGTTGTACTTGGATGTGGAGGAGATGCTGCAGAGAACGGGAATTAAGAGCTAGGGTTATCCACATTGGACAACCTATGCACGAAAAGTTTCCCACTAATGTTATAAGAAATCAAAAATACAATTTTGTTACGTTCTTGCCTCTGGTATGTTCTCGATAAAAAAAAAACTAAAAAATAACTAGCGCATCACGCATCCATAAAGAAGTATACCTTACAACATCCGTTGTTGTTTCACAGGTCCTCTTTCAGCAGTTCAAATTCTTCTTGAATTTATACTTTCTGCTTATGGCTATATCTCAATTTATACCAGACATAAGGATAGGGTATTTGTACACATACTGGGGACCATTGTGCTTTGTTTTAACAGTAACAATCTTTCGCGAAGCCATTGATGATTTTAGAAGATACAAAAGAGACAAAGAGGTCAATGCACAAAAGTATTATAGATTAGTCAAGGGTTTTGATACGCCAGAGTTAGTACCAAGTTCCAAATTACGAGTGGGCGACTTGGTGAGTGTCGTTTTACTTTTGTACAAGTCGTTGTTTTCAACTTTGTTTTTCTTGAAATTTAACCGCGACTGCAAGAGAAGTTTGTTCAGTAAATAGAATTGCTTTGTTTTACCCTATCAGGTAATAGTGGAAAAGGGTCAAAGAGTACCAGCTGATCTGGTTTTATTACGCACAACTGAAAAATCTGGCGCGTGTTTTGTGCGAACGGATCAGTTAGACGGAGAAACAGATTGGAAATTGAGATTAGCGGTGCCTGCGACGCAAAAATTGGAAAGTAATTCTCAGTTGTTTGATATCAAAGCCAGTATATATGTTGAAAAACCACAAAAAGATATACACAGTTTTATCGGCACCTTTTCGAGAGTAAGTTTTTGTTTTCTTAGTATCTTTGTATTTTTATCTTCTCCACTTTTCTTTACGCAATCATGTTCTGTCTTTAGTATGATGGATACAGCAGTGAAGAAAGCTTGGGCGTGGACAACACATTGTGGGCTAATACAGCTGTGGCATCAGGCTCTGCTCTCGGTGTTGTTGTTTATACCGGTCAAGAAACACGCTCTCTCATGAATCATTCGGATATCAGATCAAAAGTTGGTTTGCTTGATCAAGAGATCAATCAGTTGACAAAGGTATTGCAAAACTCGCGCATCAAAATCTAATATGCGGAGTTGATCTCGATTCTATTAATAAACTATTTAATTCTATTTTTTTTTTTTTTTGCAGGTATTATTTTGTGCGGTAATAGGACTCGCGCTTGTAATGATGTGTTTGAAGGGATTCAACGGTCCGTGGTATCGTTACATGTTCCGTTTTGTCTTACTATTTTCCTACATCATACCAATCAGTTTGAGAGTAAATCTAGACATGGGCAAAGCGTTTTACGCGTGGTGCATACAAAGAGACAAAGATATCGCCGGTACGGTTGTTAGAACCACCACTATTCCGGAAGAACTCGGACGTATATCGTATCTATTGAGCGACAAAACGGGAACGTTGACGCAGAATAAAATGGTGTTCAAGAAATTACACTTGGGCACTATATCTTACGGCCAGGAAACGTTCGACGAAGTGACATCGGTGTTGAAAACTTATTACCCGATCGATACGGAGAACTCGCCGGTGAAATTGGCGCCGTCCGCGCACAGCGGAAAAGTGCGACGTTCCGAAAACACCCGAATCTACGACGCGGTACACGCTTTAGCGCTGTGCCACAACGTGACACCGGTTTACGACGAGGTCAGCAAATCGAATTTGGATTCAGTGAGCGTGCAAACAGTGGAAACCGGAGACACAGGTTCCATCCAGAGGTATTTGAATTTGTCGTTAATCAACGCCGGAAAGGCAGAGACTGTTCTATTAACTTAAATGTTTATGTTTTAGTCAAACAGAGGCAGATCAACATTACTATCTACCAGAACAGAAGCGCAATTATCAAGCTTCGAGCCCGGACGAAGTGGCTCTGGTAAAGTGGACGGAAGAAATGGGACTGGCTTTAATCAAACGAGATCTAACTTCGATGCAGTTGAAGACTCTGAATGGTCAAATATTGAATTACACTATACTGCAGATATTTCCTTTTACGTCGGAGACCAAACGAATGGGAATAATCGTGAGAGAAGAATCCAGTTCCGAAATCGTATTCTATTTAAAAGGCGCTGACGTCGTGATGTCTGGTATTGTGCAGTATAACGATTGGTTGGATGAGGTGTGCGAGAACATGGCGCGCGAAGGTCTCAGAACACTGGTTGTAGCCAAGAAGAATCTGACTGAGGATCAATACCTCGATTTCGAGGCAAGGTAACGTATTATCAGAATTGTTTTGATAAAACTAAGAACACAAAAAATGAGCCACTAAATTAACGATATCATGTAGATACAATGCGGCGAGGATGAGCGTCAGTGATCGCGTGTCGCGAGTCGCCGCGGTGGTGGAAAGTCTTGAGAGAGAAATGGAGCTGCTGTGCGTGACCGGTGTCGAGGACAGATTACAGGACAGAGTGAGACCCACGCTGGAACTCCTGAGAAATGCCGGAATCAAGATATGGATGTTGACTGGCGACAAGTTGGAGACCGCGACGTGCATTGCGAAATCCTCGCGTCTGGTTTCACGCACACAGGGACTGCACGTTTTCAAGTCTGTTGTGACGCGCACCGATGCTCACTTGGAACTGAATACGTTTCGCAAAAAGCAAGATTGTGCCTTAGTTATCAGCGGCGATTCTCTGGAGGTATGCTTGCAGTATTACGAGCAGGAATTTCTGGAACTTGCTTGCGGCTCGCCCGCTGTCGTTTGCTGCCGATGCTCTCCCACGCAAAAAGCAGAGGTTGTTAGTCTAATACAAAGACACACCGGCAAGAGAACGGCAGCCGTCGGCGATGGCGGTAATGACGTTTCTATGATACAAGCTGCGGATGCTGGTAAGTGATTCGATATTTTGTGTACAATCCAATAATATCACGTTCAGATAACGTAGCAAATACTTGTATTTGCCTGCAGGAATTGGTCTCGAGGGTCTTGAGGGCAGACAAGCATCGCTAGCTGCAGATTTCTCCATCTCTCAGTTTAGTCATCTTGCTAATTTATTGTTGGTTCACGGCAGAAGAAGTTACAAACGTTCGGCCGCTTTAAGTCAATTTGTCATACACCGCGGTCTGATAATCTCAACTATGCAGGCTGTATTTTCCGCGGTCTTTTATCTGTCCTCGGTCGCGTTATACCAAGGTTTTCTTATGGTAGGGTAAGTAGACACACTTTCTGATAAATTAAATTTCTCAAACTTGTACAGTTTCGATATTTCTTTCACAATAGAACTTGCGTCAATGTTATATATGTAAAAATATTTACAGATACGCTACGATATACACTATGTTCCCTGTCTTTTCATTGGTATTGGATAAGGATGTGTCTGGGAAAATAGCGCTTACCTATCCAGAACTTTATAAAGAGCTTAGTAAAGGCCGTTCACTGTCTTACAAAACATTTTTTATGTGGGTTTTGATAAGTATATACCAAGGTATGTGTCCGCAGCGTGTGACGTCTTAGCGTCTATCTGTCCATGTATTGTTTTCTTCTAATTGATTTTTACCTCAGGTGGTGTAATTATGTATGGCGCGCTTATAATGTTTGAGGACGAATTCATTCATATAGTGGCCATCAGTTTTTCGGCGCTAGTTTTAACGGAGTTGATAATGGTCGCTTTGACAATTAGAACCTGGCATCATATAATGATGCTCGCCGAAATCTTCTCTCTTGCGCTTTATCTATTATCGTTGGTCGTCCTCAAGGATTATTTTGGTAAGTCTCTTTATTTGATACTTTTCTTTTTAAAATCTATTCGGATAAGATCAAAATAAATCTTATAAATGTTCTATTATCATTTAGATGCCGAATTTATTAAAACGACGGACTTCTTGTGGAAAGTATTGGTGATAACGTTAGTCTCGTGCATGCCGTTATACATATTGAAATTCTTGAGGAAGAAATTTTCGCCTCCTAGTTATACCAAATTATCTTAAAAGTTTAAAAGTGCAAACTTTAATCCATCTACGTAAAAGAAAATAAGAGAGAATAAGATTCGTCAATGGATTGTATTACAATAACATAGGAAAAAATAATATTTGCAAATTTCTTTTGTTCTAATCCAATCCGTTATACATAATATCGCTTAATTAATTGTTTAACAAGATAAACAAAATAATATGCACCATTTTATATATATCTCTCATCCAGCTATTTTTGTAACGACCACCGCGAATCATTTCTGTGACCTTAGTCTCACACAAATGAGAACTGACGTGACAGAAAAAAAAAAATTCAATTTTCAACCTCTCGTACATTATACCGCACAGATGTACATTTCTGAAGAAACATGGATTGAAGTTGAGCAGAACCTAACAACGTTACGCGTAATTCTTCCCGCGACTTTGTTACGCGTTCGGGCTTTATATTGCATATTACATATTACATGACTTTTTTTATATCTGATTTTCTTATAATTCATTTATATATTTATTTATGTGATCGCGATGCCAAATTTGCATCTTCCATTTGGAAAGGCGCGTTTATATTCACGTCAATTCACGTATATATTATATACATGCGGCATTTATGTCATTTATATCTGATCTTCGTATGTCAATATCGTTTTACTATGTAATTCGTTAAATGCGTTTCACTTCACATTTGTGCACTTAATATTGAATCTTCGAGTAATTCGCACATCAATCGATACAATTTTCATATAAGGAAAGATAAATACCACATGCGTATACATATACATACACGCGCGTATACATTTTACTAAAATAAAAAAAAAAAAAAAAAATAACATGCAAGAGCTGGAAATTGAGTACCAGAATTAAAACTGTGATTATTGCGAAACTAAGTCTACAAAAACAGCATTTTTTTTGTTGCTCTAATTGTACAAGAACTTTCGTTCGAAATACAAATTTGTTTCATTTCTCACAATTTTTTTTTGTACCCGAAAGACAGTTTCTATTGACATTTGTATTCTCGGTCGTATTATATTATATACGTAATACTGCGCATAAATATAACGGTGTATCGCAGATTAAGAGCAACATGTGTTTTATATTCATGTATATACCGCAACATGTGTAGAATATAAATTGTAATCATTGTTATCGTAATCTATACGGATACAGCATATGATGACACAAATAACATAGCTGTTTCTAGAAGACTATTGTTTGCTATGTAATTTACGATTAATTTATTCGCAAATAAAATAATATATTCCTCTTTTCCTGATAAATATATGTTTCAATATCGTTCGTGCGATACACAATATCTCCATGATACACATTGTTTTACTTTCAGTTTAATCTTAAGATATCCTTTAGACCGCCGGCATTTTCCTATAGTAATGTCACTGAGCTCCGCCGCGCGACTTTGGCGGGGTCACTGACCTCGGCCGCGCGGCCTTGGCGGGGCATTGACCTCGGCCGCGCGGCCTTGGCGGGGTCACTGACCTCGGCCGCGCGGCCTTGGTGGGGGGAGGTCACTGACCGCGGCCGCGCGGCCTTGGTGGGGGGGTAGAGTCACTGACCTCGGCCGCGCGACCGCGGCGGTGTTACTGACTTCGATCACGTGATTACGTATATATATATATATATATATGCGTACGTGTGTGTATTATATAGATAGAATATTACATATAATATATATAATATTCTCTTTTTTACCCTTTTCCCTGTCACGTAACTTTAGTCACGTGTTGTTTTTCCACTTCTCTCTCTCACTATTTTTTGAGTTTAATTTTTATGCGTTATTTCTGACATTTCTCATATGTGTATTATATGGTTTATAGGACGTATATACTATCTGTCATCGCGGTGACAGGTTGTGTTCACTGACAACACGTTAAATAAAAATAACAATAGCGTGCGCGTAGCGCGCGCCTGTGTTGTGCTAGTTCTATTAAAATAATTTTTTTTTTCAAAAATTTTAATAACATACACGTTATGTGGAATCTCGAGATTTGTATGAAGCCCCAAAAGGAGCTTTTGCGGCAGTCTAAAGGTTAAGTGTTGAAATATGAAGAATTCATGAAAATTCACTTTTGTTTAAAAAAAAGCGCATTTTATTTTTCATCTAACAATTACATTGAGCTTAGTGGCTGCTGTTTTTCCTATTTGACTGTGAATCTTATTAACTTCAACTTGAGTTAAGGTACGCTCCATGTGCCTGTACACAATACTGTAACAATAGGATATTTTTTTGGTCTTCGGATGAGTGAATTTGTCTTTCAGCTCGATTTGTTCGATAATATCGCCACCTATTTCTCTGACTAGATCGTAGAAATCATTGGAAGAATAACTTCCGTCTTCCGGCAACCAGAAACTTATGTCGTTTACACAAGGAGAATATCTACTGATAGGCTATAAACAAAAAAACGATTTTTTCTCTGCATATAAATAATCTCCATAAACAAGTTAATATCTGAAAAGCAATTATTTGTCTCACCTTGTATCGTATATGTGTATTAGGATCGTCAAATTTGAATTGATTCAGAAAACCTGTGTCGTTACTCCAAAATAATCTTATGTCAGGAATATCGTACAAACGCATAGCTAATCTTTCCAAGCCAAGACCGAACGCCCATCCGATTCGATCTGTGGCGCCGCCGTTTTGAAGAATTTCCTGACGCATAATGCCACAGCCTAATACTTCAAGCCATTTGTCATTGTACAATACTTCCAATTCCCATGACGGATGAGTGAATGGAAAATATTGGTCAACCCATCGACAATGTATATCTGCCAACATAAACTATCTTCAAATCAAGACACCGAATCATTAATTTGATTTGAAAGTGAAAATATTTATTTGTATTGTTAGAAATGCTAAATAAAGTTCTACCTTTCCCAAAGATAGCTTCTGCTAAACCAATTAAAGTACTTTTCAGTTCCTGCTCCATTACTTTTACTGCTTCCAAGGTATGACAACCTTGTTTTTCAGAAGTTTCTACTCCTCTATGTTCAAATAATGTCAAACTCTCAGAGTCGTTCACGTTGTGAAATATTTTCTGCGGTGTTCGCAATCTGACCGCGTCAACCTGATGGAAAACTGGATAATGCGTACTGTCAATTTCGTCACGACGATACACATCTCCAATAACTAAAAAATCGTTCAGTCCCATTGAGATCAGTTCCACTTGATGCGCAGTTGTATGCGCTCTCAGTAATATCTCTTGATTTATGTAATAACAATCAGTTTTCTTTCTGCTCGAATGATTCTTTGGTACAAGAAGAGAATCAAAATTTTGACCGACTGTAACCACAGGATTGATATTGTCGAAAACGCTGAACGACGGGGTTCCACTGCTGCGAAATTGACTGTAAAAATAATTCACAATACGTTGACGTAAATGTGAAAGCGGATGATATTTCTTAACATGCAGATTTCTGCCTAGTTTTGCGATAATATTTGGAGAAACATTTGTCCAATCATCTATCGCATATTTTTGACCGAGTATTGTCAGCTGCTTGAGATTGTTATTGACATTAGCGGCAGTAGAAGCTAGTCTACAGATTGCTACTGTCTTCTTGCAAAAGTGAATACATTTAAACCTGTAATAAATATATATTGTAGAAATAAATTAACAGGTATTTCTAAGAGATCAGTAAACTGTGCTTAAAATTTGCTACATACAACATTATGGAGATTGTTTAATTTAACTTGACTGACAAGCTGCATTCACAATTTGACTAATTTGGTTCACATCTCGATTGGTTAGGTTAGGGTTAGGTTAGGTTAGGTTCACATCCTGACTTATTAAGGTCACATTTTGAAAGGGTTAAATTCACATCTCGGTTGGTTAGGGCTGTGTCCAGTTAAGCAAGAGCGAACGAAAAATCTAAACTAAAAAATCTTGTATTTCTCGCAAGTATATATAAATTAATAAGAATTGGAATTATCTTTCTCTTTCACAAAATTACAATATAGTTTTTTATTATATCTGGAACGAGAAGAGAATTCTTTTTTAATCAATCAGAAATGTTCATATTTACATATACATATGTATATATTTTTGTCATGTGTTTGGTAAATCGAATGGAATTTTACAGGGTTAAATTCGGCATATACACAATAAAAAAGTCTTCAAATTATAAATATAATTTAATAAGTTCGTCACTAACAGCCGAAGGCGTTAAAATTCCCAGATCAGTGAACAGCAGACTAATATATTGAGGCGGAGTATAATCTACTAAAGGATGTTCCTTTTTCAAATTATTTTGTAGAGTACTGGATGTATACTGCAACGATAATATATGTATTTGATAATACTGTTCCAAGTTTGTTTATATATTTTGCATAATAATTAAATAGGAATCACAAATATTTGGAGACTGGCACTACGATAAAAATCGTAACTTACCTTGAACTCGTCAGGTAAATCCACTTGATTCAGAGGATAGATTCTCGAAAATTTGAAACTTTCTGTCAGTACATAAAATGGTTTTTTGATCTCTTTTGCACAAATCGCCATTGTATATGTACCTATCTGTAAACAAATTAGAACACTCAGGTTATAAGAAAATGTGCATTGCTGTTAAATAGTACACACCTTGTTTATCACGCCACCACTTTCCGCAACACCTTCAGCTCCAACCATTACCATATCTACTTGTTCCATCACATATCCCACTGCGGAATCTAAGATCATGGTACACGATATTCCCAGGTTCGTTAGGCTCTTGCACATGTCTCCTCTTTTAAAAATAACGAAGACAAGTACGTAATTTACAATTTACTTGAACTTAAAGTGTTAAAAGATATTCTCTATTGACATGTGAAAACAATATAAACATACCCACTACCATCAGGTGATGAAGATGTAACATATACTTCAAATATTTTGTTATCTGCAGCAGCTTCCTTCATTGCTTGCAACACTACTCTTGATTTTGAATGTGTAAGTATAATCTGTTAAAAAGAAATAACTTGAAAAACACTAAAAAGTGAGACAATTTATGTTTATTTTTTTAAATACATTTGATATTTTCTTACTGAACCGTCAGTGATGAAATGTGCTGCTAATTTGGCAACTTTTCCACGTGCTGCAACTAATTTCTCATAGAACACTTTGCCTCTATCCAACATAATTTTCTTGCAATCTGCAAACGACTAAGTAAAAAATTTATGAAACACAACCACATGTTGCAGAAGCATGATGCGTATTTCATCATATTGTTGACAAACTTTCTAAACGTGATTCTCAATAATGACAAAAGCTCAGATATGAATAAAGATTCTTACAGGTGTGTCCAGTGTAGCTAACGTGATAAAACGAAGAAACAATTCACTTCCTGAGGCAATTGAAGTAACTGAAGTATCGGTGGATCTCATAGCATCAATTGCATCTTTCAGGCAGATTCGGAGCTCTTGAACTGTCTCGGCTATAATAATATAGATCAAAATACTAAAACCAAGTTTTGTATTTTTAAAAACGTTACATATGTTATAACACTACTTGCAGTTTGAATGTTCCAGTACTTTTAATAAAGTACTAATTGCAGCCATGCCGGCAGAAACATCCTTATCGTTTTTAATGATGCCACTGAAGTATTGACAAATTTCTGAAAAAGAAAAAAAACATATAAGCAAATTGCTTTACGAGTTTATAATTCTTTATTATGTAAAATGTCATTGTCGCGCAAAATAATTTGTATCACACACACTCTCGATTTTTTTCCAATTACCTTCTTTGTTCATGTTACGCTTTTTTTATTTATTCACTGAATATTTGAACACGTAATTAAAGGTTTGGTTTGGTGCATATATGGCTCAAAGGACCGTTTCAAGCTAGTCCATACGCCATTCTAAGTCTTTAGGAATCGTGACACAGGTTCTAAACCGTGGTTTGGGTACAAGCCACGGAGTTGTACGTTCGTTAAAAATACTGATAAACTGAAGAAATCGGTGTAAAAACACCGAAGATTGTCCAAAAATATCTAAGCGTAACTACGCACATCTAACCGGTACGGCTGATGCAACACCACTAACACGTAATTAAAGAATTAAGCAACCTGAAGCAAACATGAAAAATAACGTGGATCCAACGAGCAAAAACACATGGTCGGATCAGGTTGAGCAAAACAAAGTGCAGAAAGTTCATATAAAACAAGCAGATCTCATCGTACAGCTGTGTTCCAAAATTCATTGTCGACGTTAAAAATCTATAGTTCGGATCACGTATGTTTATACATTTTCGGCAGTGAATTTTAGAACATAGCCTACAAATAAAACCATGTGTTGCAGGTTTGGCGGACAGTGCCGGAGTTATCTTTGTTGATGAGTGTGTAAAGTGTGATAATTTTGTTTTAAATAGAATAAGCAATGGGTCCTAGTCGAAACGCTATTCTGAATCTTTATCGGGATTTAATTCGAGAGAGTAAGAAATGGAACTCGTATAATTACAGGTAACGCAACGTAACGTAACGTCCATTCCTCACATTGTGTAAATACCTACACATGTCGTACTGTCATATATTCGATATTTGCACGAGAGAAAAGAGAAATTAATTAATTTCGCATATTTTCAGAATGTACGCTCTGCGAAAAATCCGATGCGAATTTAAGGAGAATAAAGCGTTAAAAAATGAAGAACAGGTTAAGCAATGTTTTGCAAAAGCACAGGAGGCACTGGAAGTGATCAAGAGACAAGTTATATTAAGCAATCTTTACAGTACTAGGCCATTAATAATCGAAACCAAAGGCAAATTACAAGATACAGGAAAATAAAATACACGCAACACTTAGCAAGATTGAATTAAAAAAACTTTGAGAATTGTATTTAAAAAAAAAAAAAAAAATAGTATATCTCTTTGAGTTTGAAATTCGCACTATCCTCATAATTTTATGTTATACGTTTTGCAAGTAGTAGGTTTTTATATTTATATAAAATTTACGCTTTTTACATAAAAAGTTTACAAAGTATTAAAAGACATGCGCTCTGTTGTGATCTGCTTATTGACTTTTGTGGAGCAGAATTGTGAGCATATATCTATGCATCTATTGAAGGTAGATATTTATGACGCATAAGTTATCTTCGTAGGATGAGCTTGCGTGTTAAAGAAATATGTATAGCATTTAACTGTATAAAAGAAGTACTATGCTAATTTCTGTAATTTGTTTTTTTTAAATTATATAAAGCAAATTTGTATTTTATTTGAATAAGGAGGCAAAACTAGTAAATAATGAATAAGATGCAAATGATAGATATTTGTATATGTTTGTAATATAAGTAAGTTGTAGTACAAATTGTGTATAACTCAAAGAAAATACTAAATAAATCACTTCATGAATCATTTCTGTGTAACGTACAAACAAAATTATACGTACAAGTAAAACGTTTTATGCTTTAGATTTAAAGTGTCTAAAAACAAACTCAAGATAACAAAGTTTTAGAAATTAATCTTTTGTCTTTTTAAAGTTTTCAATTTAAAATGTAATCCTATAACATTGTCAGAAATTTATTAATACCGGCAACGGTCATATCACGTTGAAAGTACCAGTTCTCGTCCGATCACTGAAGTCAAGCAACGTTGAGCGCGGTTAGTACTTAGATGGGTGACCGCTTGGGAACACCGTGTGCTGTTGCTACATTTTTTTTGTTTATTTCTTAATTTTTTTTTTGTTTTGAATTTAGATTTAAACTTTAAATGCATTGACGCAAGCCAGGTAAAAAGAAAAAGCTTCAATTAACATAAATAACTTAGTGTATGAAAATGTTTTAATTTTGTGAATTCAATCTGACGAGACATTATCCGCAGTTGTTCTATTACCGACTTCAACACGGCCTTTAGCTGCGCTTGTTCGGTGTCGCTCATGTCGCATTGTTTTCCTCGAGATACTTTGAAACATTTGCTGAAACGGAAACATTTTGAAATCAAACGTGTACGAGCGCGTCTGGTGTGTCCGAAGAGCACGTGTTGTCTTCCTTTCCAATTTGTTCTAGTTGTTTCCGCAAAAAATTGCGAGAATTAAACATGACTGAGGGATTTCTGGACATTTTCACCTTTCACGATAAAACTCTGGCTGTGAGATTGGATGAGTTCAAGAATATATTGTCCAAAGAAGGGAGAGTAGTGCCTGCCTCGCGAATTCGCGAGGAATGGGTCTGCGACGTCGAGTTGGTTATAGAACCGGTCGGTTGGCAGGCGCTTTGGAAGATCTCACCAATGACATGTGAATCCTTCAATATTCATTACCCTACGATAGTTCTCGTCGAAGCGATAGGAATGGACATTCCCGCATTAACCGCGACGGTGAAGATCCTTGCCGTTCAGGATGACATCCATCTTCCTGAGGCGCACGAGGTACCATTGATCGAATTGTATCCCACCATTTCACAAACAAACACGAAGTTGGATATAGTCGGCACGGCACACTGCATAGATCGATTACGATTTTTCTATAATTATCTATGGATGCCATGGGACGAGGAGGAAGACGATAACACCGATTGGGTGGAACAGCACTTGGAGCAGAGAATCAGATTGTTTTACGACATGAACAACGAAATTATTAATAAAGAAACATGCGATATTATCAAGTCGCTTATCAGAGAGGGAAGAGAAATACAGGAAAAGATAGCGAAAACGGAGATGAATCTGCCGGACGACTTGCAGTACGGTGTCAAAGTGCCCGAATCCATAGAGGATCAGACGTGCGAGTTGGTGCACTATCACTTTCGGCTTCAGCAAATCAAATCTGAAATGGATCTGTTGGAAAACCCTTCGTTGAGAGGGTTGATTAAAAAAAAACAAACGTCTAAGAGAAAACAAACTTTTAAAGATAAAAAAAGTATTTATTATTTTGTATGGCAAGGCGGCACAAAGAAGGAATTTATAGAACATAATAATAGAATTCAGAGACTTGTACCTGATAACGCGACTATTAGGTATGATGCGAATTCTTCAACTGATTTTAGATTCAAAGATCAAGCAGAGCGATTTATTTTATTATCTGTATCTATTTTAGGATTTGTGAATATCTTTCTGATACTTTAGATCTATTAGAGGCAGGTGAGATTATTTTATTAGGCGAAGGACAACAGTCAATCAAGCGTTCCAGTGGAGTGGAAGAAAAAAGTATGATTATAGGACTTGGCGATCCAGACAAGACTGTTCTTTTTCCAACCGACTCCAATATCTCGTTCTCAGCCTTGTTTGATATTTCTAACACTGAGGTATGCGCAAGTCAGTTTGGTCAGAATTTTTTCTAATCTAAATTTGTTAATTACTACACCTGTGCTGTGTTGACTTGTAATAGATCTTCTTGGAAAACATCTGCATCGAGCTGGGAGCGCTTAAAGCAGGTTTGGTCGTCAGAAAGAACTGCGTATTGTTTGTAACTAATTGTAAGATACGCGTAACCAATGCCAATCTGAGTAGCGTTAAATGGGGCGCGGTTGTCAATCCTGGTGCAAAGATAGTATTTAAAAATACAACATTTCAAGGATTAGGAACGGCAGTAATTGTTTATGCAACTGGCAAAGTTAACATGAACAACTGTTACTTCGAGAACTGTAAGGAGGGTATACGGGTAAGAGACTCGTCGCATTTCAGATATTTTTCTCTTCAAAAATATATATATATATATATATAGATCTTTTTTGTGTATATATGTGCATATGTATATATCAAACATTTTTTTCTCTTTAGATAAACGAAAACGCTCATCTTACTGTAAACAAGTGCTCGTTCGGCGATATCGAAAACAAGCAAGCTATAATAATGGAAAGTGAAAGTGCAACGAGTTTAGAGGTCGTAGAAGTAAATAATTCACTTGTTAAAGACATCCATGTAAGTGAATGTAAATTTAACAGTAATGACAAAATGCGTGTCACCGTAAAACCGAAGAAAGTGTTCACGGACCACATGTCCACGAGTCCAATACACTTCACGGGAATCTCGAACGATCAAACCATGATGGAATAAAAAAAAAAAACACGTGGCAGTGTCTTATAAAATTCTTGTGATACGCACAAGCGCATGATATATTTTTAGCAGATAGATCGTACGCAAGTTTTTTTATACTAACAAATACATAAAAGTTTCTATAAATATGTTCATTGTGAAAAAAAAAAAAACTATTTTTGCATTTTGTACTATTTTTTTTTGTTTAAATCATATCGAAGTCGCGCGTCACCCATCGCGCGACGCGAACTTCACCGTCCTGCGGTAATGTATCGACTCGTCGCTGACGTATCGACCGTTTGAGCGCGCGGTTGTCGGTTCTCTCGCACCAGATGTCGCCATTTTGATGGTTCGCAGATCGAGTCCGCGAACATTTGTGCAGTTTGTGCGCGGCGCGAGGTATATTTGTTGCGTGTTTTGTTGCGGTATTTGAAAAAATCGCACGCACTCTCGATAAACCATCGATAAATGTGTGAACTGGCGCACGTTTACGTCACGTTGATGCGTTTGCGTTTGTGCTCGAAGAAACACAAACTCGCGATATTCGGTGCGTTCCGCGACTCTTGTCATAACCTCATCCACGAGCTGGCGAATCGAGCGTTCCGACAACTTCGTGCCGGCAGCAAACGTAAGTTCATTCTCTTCGTCACTGTCAAAATTCACCTTGAACGATGTAACAAAAATTCTCTTCTCGCGTACGACGTATGTGTTTTTTTGGGGATCGCGCATCCGCCGGCGCCCGTAACCCCGAGCATAACCTAACCTCCTCTCGGGGGATCACCTGTTTCGCGTTCGCGCTCGGCCCGCATGCGCGTTGCGCGAAACGAAAGATCGCGTGTGCGAACTCAATGCGTACGTGCAGACTTAATGCGAGTTTATAAAATTTATCGCATGTAACGCCGCGTTATATTACGTACGTTTTGCACGTATGTGTAAATATCTTTTTAACCATTTTGTATTTATAAACAGCGTCGTAATAAGCGTTTTTTTCTCCCCTCTTCTCCTTTCCTCGGCGTCGAGCATGTGATCGCGCGTCAACGCACACGTGCGCGCCCCGCGCGTCACGTGCGAATGAAAACGTCGTCGAAGCCTCTCTCGTTTAATCTCGCTTGGTCTCATCTCTCCTCATCATCGATCGAACTCTTTCTCTTCCTTCGCGCGATTCCGTTTTTCTCGGCGGGAAGAAAGAAAGAGATGATTAATCGCGTTTTTCGTCGTCGCGAGCGAGATAAAATTGCGTCGTCACGCTTTTGATATCGAGGCGTGGTGATTAATCGCGGGGAGAAAGGGGAGAAAGAAAAAAGGGTTATGGAGATCGGGGCGAGCTGTCGTTGACAGTGCGCCGAATGCGCGTGTAGTCGTGATGTATCGCGCGATGCATATTCATGATGTAAAAAGGGGAACGTTCCGGCGAACGATTTAACAAAAGTGAGAGATGTATCTCGGCGTGTATACGTAAGCTAATTCCGTGTAATTCGGCGTTTTAAAAATATTCGTCATCCATTAATTCTGCGCGATTCCATCGCCCGCACGAACGGCACCTCGTGCCTCGCCTCTTAATTCACATTTCTTCTTCGCTGCCGTTATCTCCGACGCATATCTCGATTACGTTCGCAACGTCCAATCGCAATAACTTGTAGTTTTTTGTTGTTGTTTGTTTTTGTAAAAGAAAAAATAAAACTCTCTGGCAATGAACACGTCGTCTGTTTACTTCTTGTCTCAAAATTGTTGACAACTTGAAAAATTGCGTTTAATTTTTCATATTTTTAAACAATAAATTATTTGTCATTTATATTATTAGTTATATTATTTACTGTGTGTATTTACGCAAGAGTCCGCTTGAAAGACGGCACCGAAGACGACGATGTGACACGTATCACTTACTTATGTCGGTGTGTCACACATTCGATTGTGTTAACAATCCCGAGTCGATATGTTAATTAAAACGTACATATATACGCACGCATGTTCTGTATAGCGCTAACAAGTAGTTCGCTTTGCAGTTTTCAACGATCACGCGTTCAAATCGCCGCTTCAGCGAATCAGGAGTACGAGCGATCGTTGGGCGATCGCTAACGCGATTATTGAGGAGGTCGCGAGACTCGTCGCGTTGACGAACACAACCCCCGACATGGTGGAGACGAGCGCACCGTCGGCTGGGGCCGCCGACAGACAAACGCAATTCGGTAACGCACGTCATCTGGACCCGTCCGACTGCATTTTCGTCTTCAAGAACACGCTGTCGGATTACGAGGAGCCGCCGTCCGACGAGGAGGTGAGTACACACGCTTCACGTGTCGCCTCTGTTTTATCGCTTGTCATCGTGTAGAAAAAAAAAAAAAAAAAAAAAAAATAAACTTTCGATCGAGAGAGCGGGTCTCTCGGCACGCTAATAGCGAATTAAGAACTCGGTATTCGCTCAACTCGGGTTGGCCTAGTTTTCGATTGACACGTCGAGCAATTCGTCTTTCTCTCTCTCTTTCTCGCGTACAGTCGATGATTCAAACGAGAACGTTCGCTTTTTAACGCGAGATCGCGAAACATTTTGGCAACAATCAAAGCGCACTAATTGAACAGCTTCTGCTCGCGAAAGAGAGAGAGACGAGTATTTGTTCCGCGAATTGACGCGCTGCGCGCGTGACGCAAGGGTCACCCGAAAGACGACACCGAGGATACGCGTGACGATGTAACACATTTAGCAAACAACAGTCGGTGTATCGTACATCGAGAGAGCGTTTAGCGGGGTATCAGTTTCTCTGTCCTGTCGAATGGCGTCGTCGATACACCGTTGCAAAAGTACGAGGGACGATTTTAAAGCACGACTTTACGGTCGATCAAATGGCGGCGAATTAAATTATTCCGCTCCACATTTTTCTTTCAGTCGCAAGGGACTCCCGTGCGTTCTCCTCCTTTTTTTTCTGTCTCTCTTTCTCTTTCTCTCTCGGTCTCTACTCCGTTTTTAGCGCAGGTAAAATTCGATTCACCGCGTGACGCAAACGCGTTTAATACCTGATTGCTTTCCGTGCGAGGAGACGCTCGCTCCCCCGGGGGGAAAACCTTTGGTTAAAATTTATTATTCAAAGAGGCGCCCACGTCTGTTTAATCGCTCGTGTTTCTCAAACTACCGGGGCCAGAGCAAGCATGTAATCGTCGTGCGTTATCAGCGCCGTATGATCGTAAACGGCTTCGCACGTACACATATGTGCAAACGATTAAATTGCGAGCGCAGCACACAAACGGGGAAGGGAGGAAAATTATACCGCGAAAACAAAATTTCTCCATTCATTTCCCAATAAGCGCGCGAAACGCAACGGCGCGCACACTGGCGCACTGTGCAATATTGCACGTCGTTGTATAATAAATTTTACACGGGTAAGATATTAACATATTATTACGTACGTGTCGTATCTGTTAAACATATCGGTTTTTGCATATTGTCGCGTGTCGATAAAGAGAGAGTCGCGCGCAGTCTCTCGTTTAAATAATATCCGCCACGCGATTGTCAACATTTCGTCGTCCGTGCTTCGCAACGAGCGAGATCTTGCAAATCACATCTCGCAATGTCGATTGTGTGATTGCGATATTCGGTGCGCGTCTTCCGCGCGGCGGATTATCTCGCGCATTCGGAATACTATTAATCTCGTTCGCGCGGAGTGTGTTGTGAGAGTTTTCGATTCTCGTTAGGTCGATGCGTGTAGCTTCGTTCGCGCGACAGGGATAAAAACGCGATGCGCGAGGGATGAAATGCGATATTGCGTCGATATACGGTCGTTACTTTTCTCGGAAAAAAAAAAACATCTCGCTCGGAGTTATTGCGAGTGAAAACGATCGAGAAATAGCCGGAGAATCGATCAAATCCGAATAAATATACTCTGATTGATTATATTTGTGTGTGTAAAAAATTGATAAGGATCTAAATCTGATACAAACACACGTTATTGCGCACTACCAAAACCGTCAAAATGACTGAATTTTCAAATTCCTTTAATTGAACAATTTATTGAGTTTGTTCAATTTCACCTTTTTAAATACACTAACAACGTAAGAGCACATTCGCTGTTTTTTTTCTTTTTTTTTTTTTTTCTTCAAATATCCGTCAGATTGACGGATGTGATAAAACTTAAGTGTACATTTGGAAGTTCTAGCGTTAACGAGATACGTGGAAGGGTCAAAAGGAACGGACAGGGGTGTGGATAAAAGGTATCGAGAAACCTGGTTGGAATTGTAACGACGCGCGCGGTCGAAGGGTACGAAACATTGAAACGGAAAATGAAAGACGAAAAGAAATATATAGCGAGGGAAAAACGATCAATCATTCGAGAGGACCAGAACGGGCCTGCCTTGTAGCTGGAAATAACATCTCGCGTGTGCACACGCGCGCGCATGTGTGCGCTAGTCAAAAAAAAAAAAAAAGCATCGGCGAGACGTACCACTTGCGCGCGCCCGCACACACACATACACGGTCTCTTTTTTTTTTCTACCCGCGCCGTCCTAAAAAAGACATCGAGTTTATATTGTGGGTTTTTTTAACGGGCGCTTTTAAATTCGTTCATGATAAGCGCCGCGTGCAAAAAAAAAAAAACCCATCGATCGTGTCGCGAGGTTATATCTTTTGAAACGAAAGGCCGCTTCGGGAACTCCTCGCGCCATTTTGCGCCAAAGTGGTGTTGCGTGAGAGAGGGAGAGATAATGGACTTCTCCCGGGGAAGCATTACGCGAGAATGTCGTCGCTTTCTGATGTACGCCGCGCCCAGCCACCACCATGCCGCGGTCATAATTTTGCTGTTAAACAACGCGCGCAACACACATACACACATGCACACATGGAGATTTTCCAAACGATTAAAACGAGACGAGCCGAGCAACGCTGCCAAAATTCATATAATGGCGTATTCTAGTGAGACGGAAAAAGGAAGAGAGAAAGAGAAAGAGAAGAAGATAAGAGAGAAACAGGTACTTGCTATCTTGGTTCACGCTCGGCGAAATATCGTTTATAAATATTTTTCACGCAACGGTGCGTCGTTAATGGCGATTATCAAAACCGTGTCGTTATGTCACTTGCTTTGCCGGAACAAATTGCCGGCCGCACTAATTTATATATACATG